TCCTATGAAAGACACATCTTGAAAATGCCTAAAGAAAGTTGCCATTTTTTCATGGTGAAGGGACTGGAGTCCATGTTAACACCTTGGCAGCTGCGGTGGCTGGCAGTGGCTGCAGCAGAGTGATGGGGCTGGTACCTTCCCCTGATCAGCCCAGTTGCCTCCCGCAGAGGGAGGCCAGACTGCAGCTTAGGCCCATTCCCCATGGAACTGGGCTGAGGGACACCCCCCCCCCCCTGCAGTGCAAGATTTCATGCACCAGGCCCATCTCTCTCTCTCTCTCTCTCTCTCTCTCTCTCTCTCTCTCTCTCTCTATATATATATATATATATATATATATATATATATATATATATATACACATATATTCAACGTTTTGCAATATGTCCCCTTGTGTATTAGGAGTTAATATATATATTTGATATTTTGCAATATGTCCCCTTGTTGTGTATTTGGAGTTAATTTGGTTTTGACAAATTAGGTGCATTTTCTTTTAGCAATATTCTAGCAAACTGGTCTTTAAATTGAGTCTGAAAGCCATTTCATTTGAGAGGAAAATTGCACAATCTTGGAGATCAGAGAAACTTCATAAGAATTGATCAGTGTTATCTTGGTCTGTGGCTCAGTGGTTAGAGCCTGGGTCCTGCACACTGAAGGATTGTGGGTTCAATTCTCCTCCAATGGCACATATAGCTCCCCTCCCCTAGTCAGGGTGCATGTGAGGCAACCAGTCAAAATGGCTTTCTCACATTGATGTTTCTCTCCCTCCCTCCTTTCAGCTTTCTCTGAAAAAACAATGGGGAAAAAAATACCCTTAGATGAGGATTAACAAAAAAGAAATAATTGATCCATGTTGAAATGGGGAAAGAATGGGGAATGGAGGATTAATTATCAATGCTCTTTAATAAAAGTGGCTTTTATTTAATAAAATTACATTATTATTTTTTAAATGTAATAAAATAAAAATTTAGACTGGCTAAAAATGCTAAGGTCACCATGTATTAATATAAATATTGGCAATATTGACAGTAGCTAATATTTATGGAACTCAACATATTCCAGACATATAGAATTTATAAGCATTTTATTAATCATTTAGATTTTTCTTGTCTGGGAAACTCTTTATCTGTCCTTTGATTCTAAATGATAGCTTTGCTGGGTAGAATAATCTTAGTTGTAAGTCCTTGCTTTTCACCACTTTGAATATCTCATGCAATCTCTCTGGCCTTCAAAGTTCTTCTTGAAAAATTAGCTGGCAGACATCTTGGAGTTTCCTTGCAGGTAACTAACTGCTTTTCTCTTGCTGCTTTAAGATTCTCTCTTTGTCATTAACCTTTACTATTATAATTATGATTTGTCTTGGTGTGTATCTCCTTGGGTTCATCTTCTTTGAGACTCTCTGCACTTTCTGGACTTATGTGTCTGTTTCTTTCACCAGGTTAGGGAAGTTTTCCATCATTATTTTTTCAAATAGATTTTCAATTTCTTGCCTTCTCTCTTTTCTTTCTGGCACCCATATGATATGAATGTTGTTTTGCTTAAAGTAGTCTCAGACACTCCTTATGCTATCCTCATTATTTTGGATGTTTTTTCTTTTTGCTGTTCTGATTGGGGGTTTTCTACTTCCTTATTTTTCAAATTGTTTATTTGATCTTCTGCTTCATCTACCCTACTGTTGATTCCCTGTAATGTATTCTTCATATCAGTTAGTGTAGTCTTCATTTCTACGTAGTTCTTTTTTATGTTTTCTATTTCCATTTTTATGTATCATATATCTTTGTTAAAGTTCTCACTAAGTTCCTCTACTCTTTCCCTAAGTTCATGGAACATCCGTTTGACCAATGTTGTTTTTTGATGTTGTTGCTGCTGTTGTTGTTGTTTTGTTTGCTTATTTGTTTGTTTGGTGGTTTTATTTTTTTATTATTTTTTTCCAATTACAGTTTACATGCAATATTATTTTATATTATTTTAGATGTACATTATAGTGGTTAGACAATCATATACTTTACAAAGTGTTCCCCTGATATTTCCAGTACCCAACTGGCATCCTACATAGTTAATACAATATTATTGGCTATGTAAAGTATATTGCTATACTTTACATATCCTTTACTATTTTGTAACTACTAATTTGTACTTCTCAATCCCTTTACTTTTTTCATTCAACCTCCCAATTCCCCTCACCTCTGGCAATCATCAGTCTGTTCTCTGTATCTGAGAGTCTGTTTTTTTTTGTTTTGTTTTGTTTTGTTTTGTTTTGTTTTGTTTTGTTGTTGTTCATTATATTGTAACTAGTTATTTGAACTCTGCATCTGGTAGATTGTTTTTTGTTATGTTCTTTCATTGAGAACATGTTACTTTGCCTCCTAATTTTGGCTGACTCTCTGTGTTTGTTTACATTGTATTAAGTAGAGCTATGTCTCCTGTTGTTGGTAGAGAGGCTATATGTAGTAGGTATCCTTTAAGGCTCAGTGGCACAGCCTCCCCAGTCACCCAAGCTAAGTGCTTCAGGTGCACCACTGGTGTGGGTTGTCTGCACCCTTCTATTGTAGTTGAGTGCCAGAAGCCAATTCCAGCACGTCTAATTGCAAGAGTTTCATAGAAAAGTTGATGGAACTTGGGGGCTCAACAAGGGCTGAGTCACATTGCCTGCTGAAATGGCTAAAGGCATTTTCCCAAATCTGAAAGGGGTGCATAAATTGATTGCTTGCTGCCATACATCTCAGGGCATCTTAATCTACATGTTATTGCCTCCTGTTGGCCAAATACCTGAACAGCTGGAGGCAATTGTCCAATCTGACAATGGATTCTGTATAAAACCCTACCCTTTCAAGTGTATATCTCCACCTTGCATTTAGGACAATTTGTGTTAATAAAAAGCAAGGGGTCCTGAGACAAGGAGAACTTGGTTTCTTTAACCAGGCTCCTTTCTTCCGGCCCATATGCCTTTCAAATTTATGTTTCATCGCTGGATTCTTATTGATTTAGGCACAGCCACTTCTCCGGGTTTCCTTAATCATTCTAGATGTTGGATTAAGACCACTGATGTTAAATGCTGTCCAACGAGGGTGTTAGTTGAGCCTTGGTTGCTATTGGCTTATCAATGGGAGGGATTTATCCCCAGGCCAATCAGCTGCAAGGACTGACCACAACAAATGTGGAGGATCTGCTGTGCAGGTACTAACCCATGGAGCAGGACTCATTCAGTGGGGTTTAGATATGTGAAAAATTCACTCCTTTAGTGTGTCACTTGTGGAGATGGTTAGGTGTGGTTCAGTGTGGTCTGAAGCTGTCCATTGGGTGCATTGGCTCTGAGGCCTCCTGTGAGTTGCAGGCCAACATCAGTTTCCATCTGTTCCTTGCCCAGGGCCATCAAGCTTGAGCTACAAAACAATCTGTAGATGGCTACTACTCATGCTGGGCTTGGAGGTGCCTGGTAGAGGCCATACTGTGAACCAAGGCCAGCTGCAGATAGTGCTGAGCCTAGGGCTACTTAGCAAGAGGTACAGGGTATGCAGAGGCCAGATCCTACTTGTTTGAAGAATTTTAGGAAAGTAAGCAGTGTGAGCTAAGACAGGCTATATATATGGAAAAGCCACTGGAAAGGGCTTGGGTGGGCCTGAAAGTTGGGTTGGGTATGGTCTCAGAGAATCACCAGGGCTGAGCGAATAGTGTTAGGTTAATGGAGACTCTATATGGTGCTCTGCTGGCTCTGTGAGGGAGGGCTTAGCATGTTAATTGGTTTTTAAAGCCAGAATTTATGGGGACTTCTTATCTTGGCACTAGAACCCAGGACTGGGGCATTTGATATGAGGCTGAGTCCCCTGACTCCTCAGGGCAGACCTCCAGAGGTAAGATATCCATCCTGATTTTTAACAGCCACAGATGGGTATGAGATCAGCCTGTTCCTGTTCTCTGCCCCTCTTAATGTTCATGGTGGTTGAAACAGCACCAGGTATTAAAGTGGTGTGTCAGACTGTTCCTTGGCTCAGCATCCTGGGTACTTGAGTTCTGGCTAGGAAAGCATTCAGAGCCAAGATGCAAATTATAAGAGAACGTTTATTTAGAAAGTCACAGAGGTAGGAGAAATTAGTGGTTAAAGAAATGGTCAGGGAATAAGTTACAGAGGCAAAAGAAGGGCCCTTGGAGCTTAGAAAACAAGAAGCAAAGAACTGTGCCTGGCAGAAAGAAAAGGGAGAGGGGAAGGGAAAAGGCATGAATGTGCCCTCAGAAGGAAGGGGACTGGGTCTTCCCTCCTAAGAGCCTTTATGGGCCAGGATTTTAGGAAAGGTCTCAGGGGAGGATCCTAATAGAATATTCATCAGCTTCCCAGATGATATGGCCTTTCAGGGTCATGGTCTGCACTGATTGGTCATCACCAGAGCATGGGGTTATTAGTTAATGCAGCTGGCCTTGAAGTCAGCCATGGTGTCGTTTTTTCTGGTTTTTCTGCTTTTCTGGCCTGGGATAAAACACAACTGAGGCCTAGATGTATTTGATGGGGGTCAGAATCTCCTTGTCCTGGGACTTAATGCTTAAGGGTTATTCTACAGTGTTCCTGTTCCTTCTCTAAGTGGGTCTAACCTGCATGACTAGCTATAGGCTGGGGGTGGAAAAGTTACCTTGGGATGAGATTCTTGTTTTCTCAGTTTCGTCTGTTGCTATGGACCCAGGGCTTTTCCACCCTGGTGATCTTCTGTACCTGGCCTGTCATCCTGGCTCTGCTCATGTCTGTCTAACTGCCTACCATACTATCCAGCTCAATGTGGCTTCTTTATATCCTTAGTTATTAGGCTTTTGTTCAACTAGATTTCAGGTGCTTCTAAATAATGATTATTTGCATTTTAGTTGTAATTTTGATGTGGTTATGGGAGGATCTGAGTACTGCGTTTATCTATGCCGCCAGCTTGATGGAAAATCTATACCTTCAGATTTTTTTTTTTTTTACTTTTTTAACTTTTATTATGCATTACATAACACACTGTATAACCTTCTAGCAGGGGTAGATGAGCAAAACTGAGTTATTTTTCATTAATCAGGAAGTGCTTCCTTAATCAATATTCTCCAAACCCTTTACTTATAGTAATGATTAACTTCAGAGACACGCTTATCTCTTTCCATCAAAGACCAGTGATATGAATAATAGGCAACCCTTTTTTCCTTGCCGCCGTTGCAGAAGCGGTGGATGTGCGCGGTGGCGATGCCGGGGATGAGCAGGCACACGCCCATGACCTCGAGCCCGGGCAGAATCTCAAACCACATTGCGGCCAGGTGGGCAAGGCCAGAAAAATACCTCCAGGACCTTAAAAGTGACCCACTCTGATCCTTTCCCACTGCTTATACCTTCAGATTTTTTAAAACTTCAAAAGTAACCCTTGGAAATAATGAAAAAAGTGAATATGTATTTATTATAGAACTGCACTATTCTTTACAGTAGTCCTTAGCCACATGTGAATATTTATGTTTAAATTTTAATTAATTAAAATTAAATAAAAATAAAAATTCATTTTGTCAGGAGACATATACAATACTTTCAACAATGAATACGTTTTTAAAAGTTCAGTTTCTCAACCAAACCAGCCACATTTCAAGTGCTGAATAGCCACACTCTGTGAGTTGTTACTATATATTGGACAGCAGAAGAATAGAGCATTTCTATCATCACAAAAAACTTAAATGTAGTGCTGTTATAGAACATTGAAAAATACATAAGTGTATAAAAAATAACCTCTTATAATACACCCACCCAATGAAAACCATAGTTAACATTTTTAAAAAATCCTTGACAAATAATTTTTTATTGATTTTAGAGAGAAAGGAGGGGAGAGAAAGAGAGAGAAACATCAATATAAGAGAGAAACATTGACCAGTTGCCTCCCATATGTGCCCAGACCAGGAATCAAACCTGTAACCTTTTGGTGTATAGGATGACACTCCAACCAACTAAATCACCTGGCCGGGGCTATAGTTAATTTTTTATATTCTTGCAGTCTCTTTTAAATAATTTTTTACATTAAATCATGAGTAACATATGAATGCATTCTTATCCTAAAGGAATTAAATATTGATAAACTGAAACTCCCCCTCTGCAATCCCAGAGCTCTCCCCCGTGGTGATCACTCTTACCAGGACAGCATATATCTTTTCAGATTATTTTTTGCATGCACTTATAAACATGCATGTATCTGTATGGAAATATAAAGCGATGTCATTAACACCAACCTAGTTCAAGGAGCTTCCATCTGGTCCAGTTCACTCCCCTCAAGGTCATGTGGAGGATATTATCTCACCATCCACATCCCACCATGAGTATAGCGTTCTGCTTCTTCTCATCTCAAATTACTATGGTCCTGGGATATTGTAAAAACAAAAGGTCACATGAGACAAGTCAGATGAGCAGACAAAGCACAGTCTCACATGTGGGAACCCCTTTCATGTCCCGCGTGGTTCAGGGTTCAGGTTCTGGAGAAGGTCACACACAAATGGAAGAGACTAGAAAAGTATTAATTGGGAAATTTTGGGGGCCAGGCGGACTACCACCTTTAGGGGAAGGACTACCACCTTGCTTTGGCCTTGCTATCTCTTTTATTAAGGTTATGGGATACATTCATATCCTTTAGGCAGAAAATTCCAATAATAGCCAATCAGGAAGAATTTACATAAGACTAACAGGTAGAGGCTGCTTTAGCTACCAATGTCTCAACTAAACAATGAGTGATTAGCTCCGACCTTTCAGAGCAATTAAGGTTGACCAGCCTTCCAAATTCCCTGTCCACACCTCTCTATTAGTGACAATGATCGGTTTCTGGCACTCACCATGCAGAACTGACTACTCTTATCAGGTGTTCCCAGAGCAAGGTGTTGACTATAAGTCAAGTAGAATATTTATTCCATACTGACTATGTGGAGAGCTAGCCTGTGCATGACTCAGCTCCTACTGGTTCCTCCCACAAAGGATTTTGCTGCTTTAATGCCCCATTGGAGAAAGGAACTCTTTTGTGAGGCTGCCCAGAATTCTATTGGTACCAACGAAATAATTCTCTTTCTTGAGTAGCATGGCAGAATGCATGGTACAGACTCCCTCTGACTCAGACTAATACACTGTTCAAAGCTTACCTTTTGAATTCAGTTCTTAATTCATTAATTTTTAAGCTTTCTTCATTTTAAAATATGCCTTTAGAGCTATTAATATCCTCCTAACTCACACTTTATAGCACTCCCTCCTTCACCCCCCACCCCCAAGATTTGGTATAGTATTTCATTGTTATTTAGTTTAAATATTTTATTTTCATAACATTTCTTCTTTGGCTCATTAATTATTTTGACATGTGCTTTTTAATTAAATGTATGTGTTTTTTCCTTTCATTTTTGTTTTGTTGATATTAAATTCATTGCATTGTTGTCAGATAATATGGACTGTATGATGTTAGTTATTTGATGATTATTAAAATTTTCTCTGAAGAATAGTAAGTAGTTAATTTTTGTAAAAGTTGATATGTGTTTGATATGTGTTTGAAATGAATGTTTATTATTGGTTGTTAGGTTCATACATACATTCATTAGATCAAGTTTGTTAATTTTATTGTTTATGTCTTCTATTTACTCAACCTTTTTTTTATTGTTCTCCTTGCTCTATTGGTTTCTGAGAAAGGTATGTTAAAATCCATCTTTCTAAATTTTCAAATTTTCCTTGCAATTTTGATTATTTTGCATTGTTTATTAATTTCTGATTTTTATTTTTATTATACTTATTTTTTATTTCTACTTCCTTTTTTTTCATTTTTAGCTCTGAGAGTTGAGAGCTTAATTTAAAATCTTAATCTTTTTTTTATCCAGAAGCTTAATAAATCTTTATTGTTCATATTATTACAAATGTTCCTCTTTTTTTCCCCCTTCATTGCTCCCCCCCCACAGGTTCCCACCCCACCCTCTGCCCTTTCCCCACCCTTCATTGTCCTCAACCATAGGTGCACGGTTTATGTTCAGTCTCTTCCCACACCCCCCTCTCCTCTTTTCCCCCCCAAGAATCCTCAGTTCACTCCCCTTCCATACCTCTGATTCTATTATATTCAACAGTTAATATTGTTCATCAGATTTTTTTTTAAATTCCTTGGTTTTTAGATTCACTTGTTGATAGTTATGTATTTGTTGTTCATAATTTTTATCTTTATTTACTTTCTCTTCCGAAAGAACTCCCTTCAGCAATTCATATAATTCTGGTTTGGTCTTGATGAACTCCTTTAGCTTTTTTTTTTATTATTATTATTAGTGAAGCTCTTTATCTGGCCTTCGATTCTGAGTGATAGTTTTGCTGGGTAGATTATTTTTGGCTGTAGGTTCTTACTATTCATCACCTTGAATATTTCTTGCCATTCCTGTCTGGCCTTCATGGTTTCTGTTGAGAAATCAGCTGACAATCGTATAGGTGCTCCTTTATAGGTAACTACCTGCTTTTCTCTTGCAGCTTTTAATATTCTCTCTTTGTCTTTTGCTCTTGGAATTTTAATTATGATTTATTTTGGTGTGGTCTTCTTTGGATTCCTTTTGTTTGGAGTTCTGTGCACTTCCTGGACTTGTAAGTCTAATTCTTTCACCAGGTGGGGGAAGTTTTCTGTCACTATTTCTTTCAGTATGTTTTTGATATCTTGCTCTCTCTCATCTTCTGGGACCCCATAATTCTGATGTTGGTTCGCTTGAAATTGTCCCAAAGGTTTCTTACACTATCTTCAACTTTTTGGATTCTCTTGTCTTCTTGCTTCTGCGGAGGAGTGTCTTCTGGCTCTTTATGTTCCAAATCTTTTACTTGATTCTTGCGATCTTCCATTCTGTTTTTAGGACTCTGTATAATATTTTTTATTTCAGACAATGTATTCTTTATTTCTTGTTGATCCCTTATTATTTCTTGTTGATTCCTTATTATTTCTAGTTGATCCCTTTTCATATCCTCATAAGTCTTATCGATCTTTTCTAGGAAATTCTTGAAAAACCTTATAAACATGGCTTTGAACTCTATATCCAGTCGCTTTTTGTCCTCCATTTCTTTTATTTGTGATCTATTTCCTTATCTCGGCATTTTCACAGCTTCCCTGAGTTGGGAAGCCTTAAAAGTCTCTGTGTTCTGCTTGGATGGGGCGGAGTTTCAGGGTGGAGCCTACAGCCTTGGCTTCGGTCAGCCATGCCCTATGCAGCTCCTGAGTCTCAGTGTTTCTCAGGGTCCTCCGGTACTCGCTGCAAGCACCTCTGAGAGTGAGGTGCCCTCGAGTTTCGCCTGCTACCAAACAGTATAGTCTCTCTCCCAATGGGCCCGGAACTGGGGTTGGAAGTGGGGTTCAGAGCAGTCTTGAGCTTTTGTCTCCTTCCTGCCAGGGCAATCCCGCAGCACAGCCAACCATCCCTTCTCTGCATGCAATGTGCGTGCCTCCAGGGGCTCTGCCTTTCTCTGCTCCCCTGGGATTCTGCCTTACAGCCCAGGCTTCCTCTATATGAGCCTGGGTCCCCAGGGTCTGGCCTAGAACTGGGGTTCAGTGCTGTTGGGTCTGGGGTTCAGCACAGTCCAGAGCTTTTATCTCCTTCCCACTAGGGAACGCCAGCCAGGCACTCAGCCTCCCCCTCCTCTCCAGCTCCGTCTTCCGTGCGTGCGCAGCTTACCTCTGTAACTTAGGCTTTTACGGCTCCTCTGATTTTCCTTCTGATTTTCTCTTTCCTTCTTGTTGTAGAATTTCCAGTCAGTCGACTTTCCTGTAGTTCTGGGTAATGTCCATTTTATATTTTAGTTGTATTTTATTGAAATTGTTGGGTGCGGCTGCTTGATTGCTTTTCTAAAAATATGTTTTTATTGATTTTAGAGAGAGAGGAAGGGAGGATAGAAAGATAGAAACAACAATGAGAAAGAGACATCTATCAGCTGCCTCCCGCACACACCCTGCTGGGGATTGAGCCCCCAATCCAGGTATGTGCCCTGACCCAGAATTGAACTGGGGATCTGTTGGTTCATGGGTCGATGCTCAACCACTGAGCCACACCAGCCAGGCACCCTTGATTGCTTTTGAGTAAATTCATTGAAGGCTATAGATCCTCTGCATGCTGTTTTAGATCAATCTCACAAGTTTTACTATGTAATATTTTTGCTCTTTTAAAAGTTTGTGTTTCAGTATGGGATGATGAAAAACTTGTGGAGGTGGATAATGGTCATGGTTGCACAATAGCATGTAGTTAATGTCACTGAACTCTAAAATGAAAAATGGTTAAAATTTTATGTTAGTTATATTTGACCACAATAACAAAGTTTTTAATTCCCTCTTTATAAGTATATTTTAAATTTCTCA